CTCTGTCCCCCCCCCCTACTGCCCAGCCGCTCCTGCACCCTCCCACCCTTCCAGACACCCACCCTCAGCTCACTCTTGCACCTTCCTCCTGGCCAGACCTCCACTCCCAGCCCACTCTAGCACCCTACGTCTCACCCAGACCCTCACGCTCATCCCTACCCCATTCCCTGGCAACTCCCTCCCATACACTGAACCCCTCATTTTGACCTCACCTCAGAGCCTGCGGAGAATCACAGTCTACTAATCTGTAGGGATAACATATTAATGTATTGAAAATGATTCCCCAAATGGAAGTGACCCCCCCATAATTTGTTCCCCACAACTTAAAGTATTTAGATTTATTATTAATTCTTCTTATTATTATTATTTGTTAAGATTGTTAAATGTTTAGATTTATTATTATTATTGCCCCTTTAGAATATAATGTATTAGGTCATGTAACTTAGAACTGTTAAGAATATAATCCTATGTAGCCAGAAACATCCCCCCCTCTGTGCCCCAGACCATGCTCAAGCTTGTGCAAGGGGCTGCTTGAAATTGACATTGCAGAGATACATTGTAACATTGCATTGTCAAGCCACTAACTCTGCTATGGGAGCCAAGCCCTGTAATTGACTAAGGGCATTATTACTTACTTAACGCCTGTTCTCTTTAAAACATTGTAACTTTATTCAGCACTCAGAGAATGTTTTAAGCAATACCACCCAGAAACTTTTGTAACTACAACTTTTTATTATTATACAAAATACTGTATGAATGTATGAGAGAGTGCTTGGATGATGAGTGAATGGTTCTGAGAGGTGCCAGCCTGAGAATACAGCAACAAAGGGCTGAAGAAGGCGTCAGGTGCCAGTGCAACCAAAAGGTGTCAAGTGGAGAAAACCAAGTACTGGAGGTCCACCCGATGAGATCACTGACGAGCACCTGGCAGCCACCCTGGAGACATCAGCATGATGCAGCAATTCCCATAGACTGGCATAGGAAAAAATTCCTATAAGAACTGGACTAAAAAACTATGGAATCAGAGTCCAAGGTTCTGCTGCCAGCCTACCAGGAGCTTCAGATGCGCATCTGATCAGGACTTTGCTCCCCACTACCATCACTTGTGTACAGAGTACCTGGCCAGTATTCTGTCACAAGCAACTTCCAGGCTGGTAACTATACACAGAACTTGAATGAATGGATGTATGAATGAATGGTTATATATACATATATATAAAAGTGTATAAGGGTTAAGTAGTGATAGGAATAAGTAGTTAAACAACGTTGTTTGCTTCTATCTTTTCTTTATTCTTTATCTTTACAATAAATGTGGCTTTTTGCCTTATCCCCCTCATAAGATCCTGCTTGCTTTTATTTGGTACAACAAATCCAGGGACCCCAAAAAGTTCATCTGGCCTGTGGGAAGCCCTGAAGCTTGGTCCTCCCTGCCTTCTCTACCTTCCCTCCCCTGCCATGGGGTTGGAGTGCATGGGGAGTGAGGTATCTCAGTTGGGGGCCACATCAGTGAGGGTTTTTTTTGGGAGGGTTGCCACTCACTTGTGTGCCCCCTGACTGATTTTTTCTGTAAGATCAGTGCCCCCCAACCCACAAATGGTGGGTATGATAATTCGGGTGGTTAATAATAGATTTCCATAGGATGGCTATATTTTACTCCTGGGTATTTGAGTACAATTAAGATGCGATACTTTTTTAACTTTTACTCAAAGTAGTTTTCCAGAAGGATACTCTGACTCTTACTAAATTACATTTTTTTTTTCAAAGCAGCAGTACTTTTACTCAAGTAACTTTTTGGGGTACTTTTTCCACCACTGCCCCTACCACCGCCTCAATCCCAGAGCTGGGAGGGCCTGCACCTGTTTCCTAGAGACTTTGGCTGTTAGACCGCACTGCCTTGGTGAGAGGGGCATTGGTGTATAACCACAATTGTAGAATATGGTCCCAAGAAGCCCAAGGTCTCGACAGTGCCCTCTGGGAGAGATGAGTGTACTGCCCTATGACAGGTACACACACAGTGTCTCTCAATGATAATACATGGAAAAATCTTTAACATAACTACCTTGATATTGCGGACGTCATATGAGAGCCTGTGGTCAGTGACTCTGTCCTGGGTGAAGTTATAGGTACGGATTCTCTCTGACTGGGCTCTTGTTCCTATCTGTACAACAACAACAACTTCTATTATTTTTTGAATCTTAAAAACGAAAACCTTTCCAAAGGAGCTTAACGTAGATTGCAATGGATCAGCCTGTTCTGTAGATACATACAGTATTTACACATCTGATTAATAATCTGCATAACTGCCTCTTACACATACAAATTTTGTCAAGGTTTAAGACATTCCACCTTCCTATTTCTGTATTGACTTTGTAGCGGTAACAGAAGTTAAAAAGGAGTGTCAGAAGCCAAAGTTGTCACTGTTAGCTAACCTGTCTCAACACAAGTTAGATCAATCAAGTATGAAAATGTTATGTTTACAGTGATTCTTCAGATTTGACGGATACTGCTGGAACAATCGGTTTATACTATACTTAAGAACCTGATCCCGCAAAATGTTTTGCAAATAACGTAATTTTACATATAAATAGCCTCATGCATGTGCATAGTTACTCATGTGCATGTGTGTGTTGAAGCAGTGGACATCTCCCAGTACCCATTGACTTTGATGAGCCACAGAGCTAGAATCTGAAAGGTATTCGGTACCTAAATATACAGAGAGGTGCCTAGAGCTATGTGCTTAGGCACACTGAAAATACCATTAAATGCCTAGTCATGTAAACAAACATTTGAAAATCCCACTACGTGCTTAGCTGCCTAAGTTCCTACATATCTTTCAAATTCTGGCCCTTGCTCACTAAAGAAAATACTATTATTTACAATTTTTGCTGGAAAAAAAAAAGCCATGGTTGAACTAGTTGTGCAGCTTCCATATAACCATACATTTCCAAACACTACCCAAATTTTCAGGATAAACGTTTTTTTTCAGCTAAAATGCACCACAGCTCTCTGCTCAAAGATGCATTTGATAGCAACGTGAAGAATGATATGGAGCTGTTCTTCAGGGTCACAAGACTGGGAAATATTTTCCCATTTTGAAAGTGAGAAGTCTCTAGTTGGTGCCACTGTTTAAATCTCCCATTCTGAATGGCAACTATCTTTACAAAGCAAGTAACTTTGCTTGAGACTCTCACAGTCCAAGCTAGATGAAACTGTAGGATTGCAATTCCCAATAGTGATGATTAAAGTGGCACTTCTGATTATGCAATTAGCAATCTCAAAATGTACTCCATATAACAGAGGGAAGCTGAAAGCCATACTAAAGAGTATGGCTCAGAGAAATGAATGCAGCTGAAGGAATAAACAGAATATTTGTGATACTGGGAGTCCTCTAGTGGTGACAAGATGGAGTTACAAGCAAATCTGAAAGTTTCAAAACTGAATTACAAGTACACTTTTTGGTTTTGTTTATTTTTTTTAAAATGGAGGGCGAGATTGAAAAGTGCGTAGAGAAACAAATACACAGCTGCCATTAAAAATAAACAGAAATTGGGTGCTTAACTAACTTAAATGCTTCTGAAAATCCTGCTTGCAGACACATTTATATTTCCAAACTGATTTAACATATTATGAAACATTAGGGGTGGGCGTTTCATTTTGGATGCCCAATTCCCATTAATTTTACTAGGAACTGCACATCCAAATACTTCAGGCAGCTTTGAAAAAAATCTCAGCCTAAATTTCAAACAACAAGAGATAAAGGCTCCATCAACTGTAGTGACTGATGGAGCACTAAATGCAATCTGCAGTTTGTGGTTGATAAGTGTCTAGGAAGCTTTTAAGAACTGAAGCTTTCAATTGCTTCTGCCCACTAAGACAATCACGTTGCAAAGAACAAGATGCTCAGAGCAAGTGAGAAAAATGGTGGTGTTCGGGGGAAAAAACAACTTTACAACTTCAGTTGTAAGATTAATTTAATTAAATTTCCGTTAATCAATATAAGTTATTTCTTCCTCATGAGAGACGGTAATTTGTTAAGTTTTTGGAAATTTAACCAATGATTCTGCAGTGGCAAGATTTTTTTTTTTTTAAATATTAAGAATATTTTCATTCCCACTTCCTTCTCCCCACAGCAGGATCCTAGCAATTACTGTATTTTAGAATTGGATTCAGAATGTGAGTACCAAAACTTCTTGTGCCAGATTCTCATTTAAACAAAAGCTCTTTAGTGTAAAAGGGCAGTAAAATGGGTCTAAGTTACATGAAGGTATAAAATTACATTTAGTTAAAAGAGCAATGTAAACTAGCCTTGATTCTTCAATACATTTACAAGCACATGCTTTTCTTTTTAGCTACATCCATCTGTACATACTTTCTTCCCAGGTTATTGCTAACCATGAAAATCTAAAGCTATGGCATTATGTCCTCACCAAGTCTCAATGAGGAAAACATGTTCTTACCTGCAGTTTTCTAGCATTCTGCGTTTGGATGAAATCTCGCTCAATGATTTGCTGATACAACTTAGTTCTCAGCGTCCGCAGAGCTATTTCCTTATTTAATTGCTGTGATCGCTCCTGCTGACACTCTACTGTTAGTCCTGTGTATAATTCAAGAAAACACTGATCAAAGACCCACTGTAACAAAGAACCAACAGAATTAATCCTAAAACATAGGCAAATGAAACCACCCAGTCATACTGCTCTTTCTCTAAGGGCCTGTTCACACTTGGATGAAAGGTGTATTTTTAAAATAGGTTAGTTAAAACATTTTAGTTGCAATACGGTTTTAAAATATTCTAAATGGGACACATTTTAATACAGCTGATAAGATAACCTGAGGGATTTTTTTTTTAATGGAGCACCTTTAATTATGGTGCTGCATCTGAAAATCCAAGGTTCATTTAAACCAGCTAATATGTGTTTAAAATATAATTTGTCCTGTATACAGTAGGATGTTTAAAACTGATATAGGATTACACTGTTTGTGTATATAATATAATAATTATGTGGTGTTTTTCATCAATAGATCTCAAAGCACTTTGCCCAAGGAGATATTACTTATCTTGGTCCTTTGTTTACATAAGACTCAATGCCTTACACTGTACCCTCAATTGTCACTTACTTTAATGAGAGGTAAGGGTATACAGTTTGCAGAAGTTATTTACATCTACCACCATGTCCCTGTCCCACCCAAAAGTTTGGTCCATTTATTCAGTTTGTCACATTGTAAAGATAAAAGTGGCAATACTATTTTTCACAAACACATAGAAACCATGACACTCCCCTGCAAAAAAAGTTAGATCCATCTGATTTTCCCTGTCCTGCCAGCTGTTCTGTGCAGACTGATCTTAGTGCGAAGTGAAGCAGCCTGCAGGAACAGAGCCTTTGTTTTAGGATCTAGTTTGTATCGTGTGTGTGCTAAAAGGCACAGATTAAAATATACAAAACACTTACCAGTGGGAATATGCACAATTCTCACAGCACTGTCCGTTGTATTTACATGTTGTCCTCCTGCACCTTTGGCCCTAAAAGTATCTATACGCAAATCCTTTGGATGCACTTTAACATCTACCTAGAGTAAAAGAAAATTAAATTGCCATCTGCTCGTAACCTTTTTAAAGAGATGCTATCAGTTTAAAAACACTAATTCTTGCCAAAATTTCCTTATCTCCCATTGTTATCAGTAGCACCAAGGTTACTCTAACTGAAAGAAATTAGTCAACAACCAACATTTCTGTTTTCAGTTTGTTTACTTTGTGCCTTTGCTAACCATTGTGTATAGTCAATTTCAGTGTTTCCCCTGTGTAATCAGTCAGTTTCCTCTGTTTTTGAAAAGTCTTAAACATAACATCTTAAACATAAAAAATAATTAAGGAAGAGGAAAATGTTACTGTAAAAACCACAACAGTTGGCAAGGAGACTCAGAAGCAGATGAAGTAACTCAACTACATTTGATTTCTTTCCTGTGTTTAAACACCAGTGTGGACCCAAGCTTCAGCTAAAGGCCCCAATCCTAAAAACACTCATGAATGTGCCTAACTTAACTCCCCTGTGTAGACCAACTGATTTGAGCACATGTGCAAGTGTTTCCATAAGGGCCTAAAACTGCTGAAGAATAGAGACATTACTGTTTAGTATCTAGTATGGTAGCATCTAGAGTCCAAAGGCACTGAAGAGACATAAGTACAACTCTGTCAAGCCAATTGTTCGTGTTACTAAAAACTGTCTAGACATTTTTTAAAACTGCAGCTGACACACCTAAACAAGTTTAATTTTAAGCATCACGTTAGAAGATTTTGACTGATTGTCTTTGATAGGGTTGCAGATATGCCATGAAGGGCCATAAAAGCTAAGTACAGTAAAACTCCAGTGGTCCGGCATCCAGGGCCAGTCTGAGCCCTTTTGGCGCCCTGAGCCCGGGCATGTAGCACCGCCCCCGGGCGCATGCGCAGCCCGGCCCAGCCAGCGCTGCTAGCGCACGCGCCGGGCTGTGCATGGCCCCGCAGCCGTAGGAGCAAGGGCGCTGCTGTCCGGCGCCGCGGGGCCAGCACTGCCGGAGCCAGGCGCGCAGCTCCTGATGGCAGCTGTAAGGGATGGTG